GAACTCATGAGACTTAACACTGATTGTGTCTGGGGAGGGGAACTGATGCCTGGAGGTCTGCCTTTTCACTCAGTACTTAGTGTGACTTTGTTTTTTACCACGTGCATTTATTGCTTACTGAAAAAAAAACATTAAAAGAAAGCTAATGCTTCCTCAGAACCTTCTCCCTTACTACCTCTGAATTTAATATTACTTAGGAAATATGTCGAGACAAAGGAAATTTCATAAATTTCATGACAATCTTACACTATCACATGAGAAAATAAATGATCAGAAATTAATTGTTCTTGTCAGAATATAAGTATATTGATACTTTTTATTTTAATCAGATGAATCACATAAGAAAATTAATGATTTGTGTACTTACCGTACCTTCTTCCCATTTTCAGTAATTTTTGTTACATTTAATAATCCGTATTTCTCTTGACCCTATGGAAAAAAGTAATACTACTTATATACCATTCATATAGGTCCAAGTTCTTACATATGACTGAACCAAAATGGTCTGGTACTCTAAAGTTAGCTTGAAAAAAAAAAAAGATTAGTCAGTATATAACATGCTTAGTTCTAGAATACTTTAAGAATATAATTTTCTTAATACTTTTGTAGAGTTATTTTCAGTAATTTACAATTAAACACTTCCTCTTCTCCTTAAGTCATAGCAGTCATCAGGTACTTTGCTACCAAATTAGATTTCCTTAGATGAACAAGTTGGCACTGGAAAAATGATTTATGTCTTCCTGTTCAAAGAAAGTGATACAATGCTATAATGATAAATATTACAAAAAAGGAATGTTTACTTTGCTGTTATTTTACCACTAGGCAATGTGAAAATTATTCAATATACTAACACATTTGTCAGAATGTAAAAATAACTAGGTAGAACAAATGCAGTTGACTGTGCATATTTAATAAATTACTCAAAAGTAACTGGTACTATGCAAAGAACTGGCCTTAATGTGGCATAAAAGAATTCAGTGTGTACTTCATTAAACATATTATCTGATGGTGAGCTAGACTCTAGGCAAACTAGATTTATTAGCCAGCTGATGTCAAAAATAGTGACACATGCTTTATCATCAAACCCTATGAAGGCAAAAGCCATTGCACTAAAGTTAATGTTATTTTAAAATTCTTCCAGATGGAAATAAGGAAGCACTTTGTCACTACTTTAGTTTTCTATATTCAAATAAATTTAGTCAAAATGAGTTGGTACCTATAGTAATCACCAAGATTAGTAAGCACTGTATGTACATGAGACAATGGTCAATTTTAATTCAACTGAAACACACACATACACACAAACACATATAAAGTAAAAAATATCCCTAATTCAGGATTTATTTCTGACTGATTCCTCGGCTATGTCTTCTCAACGTATTTCAATCAGAAAATATAAATATTTTTGGTATAAGAGATAATGTTGAGTATTTTCTCAGTAATGTCTAAAAGTTTTGCCTGGTCTGATAAAAACTCACATCTGCAGACAAAACTGCCAAACTGTTATGTCAATTTACATTTTTGGTACACTGCAAACTTAGGAAATAGCTCATACGAAGTTTATTGTAATTTTTTCATAAAACATAGCTTAGACCTCCTTAGATATGCAAGTTTGATACTTTTCATAAGAACTCTGCTGCCTCTCAATAAAAACATCAGTAACACAATTTTAAACACACACAGGGTTTTTTTCCCCTTTTTTCTTTTTCTTATAAATATATTGAGGGCTGACTTTCAACAGACTGCAGCAAGGGAGCTGGACAAGATGTTAAATAAGGACATTCCCGGTTTTCTCCTCCCACCATCAAAAGTAGAGAGAAAATTTTTCCATGATATGAGAACTAAGGAATAACATTAATTTAAGTGGATGGGCACTGGTTATGTCAGCTAGGGAGCACAGGAATTGGAAGGGCAGAGAGAGGTGAGAATTAAGCCCATAAAAAAATGCCACAGCTGGAATTATGTAAAAAAAAAGCAGAGGCAGGAAGGAAATGCAGACACGGAAACAGGAAGAAAAATGGATAGAATAGCAGCAGTGACAGACAGCTTAAGCCTGAGGATGCAGGGGCTGGGGACAGAGGGGAGGGGAGAGCAAGCCTCATCGGGGTTTCTTACCTGAGTGAACAGAAGGACTGACACTGGTGCACAATCGTGCATGCATATACGATGTTTGAGGAAAGGGTCCAGAACTCTCACCCAATTCTCAGAGGGATCGAGACCCAAGCACTAATGCTGTAAGTAGCAACCGCTCTCACTTGAACATAAAATAAGAACACTTGCCACATCCAAATGTACAAAAACGAAAAGCAATTACCATACAGAGTGAGAGCTGGGGAGAAAGAAGGGCAGCAGAGTCAGCTTGCTGGAGAACCTGACACTGGAGCTCAGGAACAGGCATTAGTTAGACGGAAGCAGTAGGAGGTGAAAATAAGCAGGACAGAGGCACAGAAGCTAAGGCGAGCAAGTCACAGTTGAGGCCCTGAAGTTCCCTCAGAGTATTGGGTGAGGCCAAGAAATGATATCGTGGGAAGTATGAACCAAGACAGAGTAGCACAATTGGGAACCAACTAGAATACTAGTCTAATGATTGCCGTAGGAGACAATGAAGGTCTGAACTAGGGCAGTGACAGTGACAGGGAGAAGAAGGGCCCAATTTGAGAGATTCAGAAGACAAGATTGACAGAGGGACTGGATGTGAGGGTGACAAGGAAGATCTTGGGAAACCGCCAAGCATGAGCAACCAGGGAGGTGGTGGCGGCTCAGCTTCTGGGTCACTTTTTTAGAGACATTTTCCGGAACCACTATTAAGAAGGGGCTCCTCCCCTGCAACCTCCCATACTTACTACTGCCTCAGTTTGTTTCTCTCACTGTACTGTACCAAGGACTGAATGTTTGTGTCCCCCAAAATTTCCGTGCTGAAACTAATCCCCAGTGTGATGGTACTCAGAGGTGGGGCCTTTGGGAGGTGATGAGGTACTGAGGCCGGAGCCCTCATGAATGGGAATAGTGCCCTTAAAAGACGGACCCTTGTCCTTTTTGCCACAGGAGGGCACAGTGAAAAGGCACTGTCTATGAACCAGGAAGTGGGCCTTCCCCGGACACCAAACCTGCCAGTGCCTTGATCTTGGACTTCCCAGCCTCCAGAACTGTCAGAAATAAACTTCTGTTGTTTCAAAGCCACTCAGTTTGTGATATTTTTGTTATAGTAGCCTGAACAGACTATGATGAACTTAATAAAAAGTGCAATTATATGTTTTTTATTTATTTATTGTCTACTCCATTAGGCTGTAAGTTGGGACATCTGTTATGCTCATTAATGTATGACCAGTGCCTGGTACTATACTAGCATGTAGTTGATGCTCAATGCATATTTGTTGAAGTAATTTACCAACAAATCAATAAGGTTAAAGGAATAGAAGGTCTGCAACAGAGAAAATAAAGTTTTAACTTTTAAAAGTGAGGAATAGGCAGATGGATAAAATAGGTTTGGATACACAGGTGAGAGATTTTGGGAAAACATTTAGACAAACTTTTATTTCATACTTTCTCAACATAATATGACTCAAAATCAAACAATGTTTTTGTGTTGCTTACTAAGATAAAGTCACAAAAATTTAAGTCCCATAAAATATGCCCAAATTCATGCATGAATATTTGTCTAAATGCATTTGATATTCCAAAGGAAACTTTATATTGAAAATAAGCAGAAATGCGTTCATGGAGACTCGTGAATTATGGTTAAATTTTGACCAAAAATATTATTAGTCTATCCTAATAAGGCAAGAAAACAATTTGCATTCATAGTAAAATAGGCGTTTCCCAGTTTAGCCTAACAATTATTGTATACCAAAATAACGTAGTCCATCAAAATCCTCATGTTCAATCACATTATAATCATGTAATAATCAGATTCTTTTTATTCAGAATAAGTAAACTTGCACAATGGTTCATAAAGTATTGAAAAAGAACCATGTGATGAAACATCCAGAACAGGTAAATCCACAGAGGCAGAATGTAGACTACTGGCCACTGGAGGCAGGCGAAGGGGCAGGGTGAATGGGAGTGAGGGCTTCATGGGTGTGGTTTCCTTCTGGGGTGATGGAATGTCCTGTACGCAGATAGAGGTGATAGTTGAACACACTGTAAATACACTAAATGCCACTGAATTGTACACTTTAAAGTGGTTAATGGTTAATTTTAAGTAAATTTTATCTCCATAAAAAAAATTTTTAAGGGCTAAAATCACAAAAAAACAAATTGAACATTCATGTTTTTAAAAAGGCCTTAGAATAGTTAATACTCTACGAAAAAAATAAGCAAATTTGTCCACTAATATATTTTCTTTAATATTTATTAAAGAAAGTGTTGAAACGTCCTTTTCTCTCAAATCATTAACGCATTTCAATACCATTAATTAGAAATATAAGATCAAAAGCTCGTTTCCAAATTGCATATTCTAAAATTTTATTCAGTATTCAGTAATTGGGAATTTTAAAATGTATATTCTCATAGGCACTTGAGACAAATAAAGAGTAGCTTCTTAGATCAGCCCACGAAAGGCTTTTTAAGCCATATTGTAGAAAAGTACATTATAGGTTTTTTAAAAATGTATATACTGCCCAATTTATATAGATTTGAAGCGACTATGAAAAACAACAATAACTCATTTGAAAATTAAAATGAAGCATGAGAAAAATTAACATGCTTAAGATGTATATCAGGAAATGGAATTTTAAAATTGGTTTGATTAGAAGAGATTGAAGAGATGGGCAATTAAGGTGACATCAGGTATCTAACACTGGTGATGACATTATTGTCACTTCTAAATTTGTAGCTTCCTTGTCCTTATCACTAAGCCTTTATACCAATCAATTTTTAACTCACAAAAAAGGGGGAAAATATCTCCTTGTAGTAGTAACTGGATGAGAGCGGGAAAGAGGCGCCAAGACTAGGCAGAAGCCAGCCAAGCTTATTCATTTAACGAATATTTCCTGAACAGCCACTACACAGGGACTGCAGTGCAGACTGAGGTTAACAGTTTCTGCTCTAATGAAGCTTTTGTTTAGTAGGGAAGATGGACATTAGTAGAGTTGGGGGTTCCTGTAAGAAGTAATGACAAGAGCTACTCTATTTTATGTAATCAAATAATACATAATTAAATACTGTGAAGAGTATTGTAAGAAAATTTCACCTAATCTAGAGGACTAGAATAAAATTCTCTGAGGAAACAAAGTCTGAACTAAGGCTCAGTGAAAAGCAGGGAGAGAAGTGTTTCGGGGGCAGAGGAAAGGACCTCGGGCTGAAGAGCAGGCTCCTTCGAGGAACTAAGAAAAGGGCAGTGTAGCAGAGGAAAGCAAGGAAGAAAAGTTGAGGATACAAAAAGTATGAGATGAGGCTGGGAAGCAGTCAAGAGCCAAACAGTGCAGTCTCATGGTCCTCATTAAAAATTTTGGACTTTGGGCTAAGAGAAGAGAGAAGCCATTGAAGGGGAACAGCATGATGAGCGATGCACAGGAAATAGAGTGAGTACAAACACAGAAACCAAGGAAAATCTCATCGCAGACAAGATGGCGTCTGAAGGTTTTCAGTTTGGGGAACTTACAGTTGAGTTCCATTATCTCCAGTATTCATCTGGCATAGACGGGGCAACACATTTTACAGCACAGAGCAAGAAGGTATCTATGCTCATTAAGCAGAAGGGGAACGCGTCTTACCTTTGCACTGCTGGCCTGAGGAAAAAACGGTAAATATAATTTGATAGCACTCTCTGGGAGTTTTAAATTTTATTTTTAAAAAACAAATATAAATTCAACACTTAAAAATATGGCATGTAATTTAATTAATCATGTAAGATACCATATTTTGCATAAATGGGGGTTCTTAAATCAGTACAATCTGATTCTTACTTTAAAGTTGTTTTAATTGTGGTTTTTTAAGAAAAACTAATGAAATTTAATAGAAGCCCAAGAAATATTTCAACATTACATTTAGAGAAAATTAATTTACTGAAATTGATTGAAATAACTGGACTATATTATACAATATGCTTCTATCATACTAACTGTATCTTGGTGCTTTGGAGAAGAGGGAGAAGACTCATTTTCAGGAAAGCAGGGTTTTGAGGCAGTTGGAGATTCCTACAAGAAATAAGTAATGAAAAAAGTTACTCTATTTTATATAATTATATTTCTGCCTCTACTCAGAGTGGGAGAGTTTAATAAGAGAGACTAAGAAAATTTTTTTTCCTTGTTATTTTTCTTCTATATTCACCTCCAAAACTAATATGGTACTGATTTTAAAACTACAGATGTTATAAAAAGTTTATGAAATATGGCACATTTTTATAGCAACTACAGTTAAATTTAAATAATGCATACAAAATTAGTCAAAAGAAATGATGCATGTTGCCTTAAAAATCATGATGTTACATTAGTTTGAATTAACTGTATTTAAAATAAGTAAAACCTAAACACTTTAAAGATAAATATGTTACAGTCACGAAACTAACTTGCTCTTGGGATGGTAGGTATGAATATCCAGGATTAGGCAAGGAAGAGTCACAGAAATAACTTGGTAACTGCCAGAAGAAGAATTTTAGTCAAGAGCTATAGGAGAAATTAAATTAAATTGCTATTAATATTCAAGGTAATTTATAGCTAACTTTCCAATGGAAATAAGCAAGATTCTTTAAATGCAAGGAAGAAACCTAGGACTTAAAGATTAATGATTCACCAAAAAAAAAAAAAAAAAAAAAATGGTTTAACGTTTAAGCCCTTAAGAATATCATAAGAGCAAACCAATAACATGTTTTTTAAGCTGCCTACTTTGTCATTATTAAAACATTGCACACGATTTCTACTACACGTGTTGCTAGCACCTATTTGTGGAGGATAAGACTGAAAAATATTTTTTTGGTAGCAACAGCCTAGCTCCATATAAATTTTCTCCATTCCCCTAGATGTTCTGAATAATTTCAGGAAAAGAGAATTAGAAAAATCATATGCCATTACCTATTATTAATTTTTCTAACAAAAAATTCCTTCGAACATTCATTTACATATCTACGGCATTCTAATTTTCCACGCTTATGAAACTGGAGAAGGTACTGTTAAAACCCTGGGAATTTGTTTTAAGTAACAATGCAAATATCATTAACTCAACATTCATTCAACTGCAAAAAAGTCTTCAGGTTTACATCCTACACAATTTGCAAACACAGAAACTAGGCAGCAATGAGAGTTTACAGGAAAACCCTTGAAGGGAAAGAATAACAAATCAAACATCGAAAAATCTCTACAAAAAGAAATTATCAAAAAATTAAAAAGAAATTAAATTTAATGTCTAAATCTCAGTTTAGTCTCACTTAAGTATTTTTCTGACAACTTCAGATCAATTTCTTGACTTCTAAAAGACTAATTTTAAAATAGTCTGAGAAAGAGGAAAGATTTGATAACCTACAAACTAGAAAATACATAACTAAATAAAATGAGTGGTAATTATAATTTATTTTTCATAGCATTATCAGTCCTACAGAAATAAAAACCACAAATGGAATACTAATGTATATATAACAATTATAAATATATAAACCAAGAAATCATTTTACATTTATAACTGAGGGGTAGTTTTAGTAAAAGCCATACATAAGCAAAAACAAATTAACGTACTCACACATACACACACACAGACATACGTACATACCTATCTCTGAAGTTAACTGCCAATTGAATTAGGACCTATGTCATCATGATGACATCTGCTATACAGTAAAAATGTTCCTGAACTTACAATTTTTCGACTTTACAATGGTGCAAAAGCGATAGGCCTTCAGCAGAAATCACATTCTAAATTTTGAATTTTGACCTTTTCCCAGGCTAGTGATTGTTATGATATTCTCTTGCAACGCTGGGCAGAGGCAGCAAGCTGCAGCTCCCAGTCAGCCATGCAATTATCTGGATAAAAAAGGATACTCTACACTGTGCTGTATCGCCACATGATTTTGCCCAACTGTAGGCTAATGGAAGTGTTCCGAGAACATTTAAGGCAGGCTAGGCTAAGCTATGAGGTTGAGAAGGTTAGATATATTAAATGCATTTTCAATTTATGATATTTTCAACTTACGATGAGTTTATTGGCACATAACCCCATCATAATTTAAGGAGCATCTATATCAGGTTTCTTTGATTATATTTCAAGTTATGCACACGTCATCCCTTATCATATTCTCACTACTCTGGGACAATTAGATGCAAGAAGAAATGTAGTAAGAACTTCGCACAAGTTATTTTAAGCAACAGATTGAAAATGAATCGACAGATTAAAAAGGAGTAAGAAATTTTAATATACATCACCAAAATAATCATCCTTATTTCTTCAAGTATGAAGAGGCAGTGGAGCTGGTTCAACGATACTTTTGCCCTGGAGTATTACATATGGTATTTAGGAGTTTTCTGCATATTCGGAATTGTAAACTGGTTCTGGGAGTTGAATCAATTTTTTCTATTAAAAATCTCTAAGAATCTTACCTACCTAGGTTAATCTCAATGATCATGTTTTCAAGTATATCTTCAATAGCACAGACTCCAGAGTATCATTCCTTTAATATGCCCCTTATATTCAATCACACGACATCCTTACAAAATAGAAACTAGAAATTCATCTGCTTTCACTGTTTCCTATTAGTCCCCCTTATACACATAATGTGTGTACTGTTTTTACAGCTTCACTAACTTTGTTGAATTTACAACAAAGGCCAGTTTTATAGTCACTTGTAAGTACCAAAATATTACACTTGTTTTGACTCATCAACTGAGATAATTTATAAAGAGATCTAAGGTTGAAAGTATCCAAGCATACAGAAATATGCCTTAGGAGTGTTTATTCTGTTTTCACTAAAAACACCAAAAGAATGAGGGAAACCTGTAAATTATGTTACAAGAGAAGAGTGATACTCAAAAAAAGAAAAAAAAGGTCATCAGTGACAAATATCTTTCTTTTTGCAGTGTTAGGATCAAAGCTCGCTGCAGCCTTGAACTCCTGGGCCCAAATGATCCTCCTGCCTCAGACTCCCAATACACTGGGGTTACAGGCGTGAGCGAACACAACCCAGCCTTTTTTAAATAATTCATTTAGTTTTGAGGTATTACTGCCACCTTCACATTTCAACATCAGTATGTCTCCTGTTCTGCAAATTCATACTAAATTCCCAACCCATTCCAAAATGAAGCCACATTGTAAGGATTTGAAGTTTTAAAAACATCCACTCTCATGTTTGCATCAAAATTCACCCCTACTTGAAACAGAGAACATCACTTCTCAAATTGATAAAAGCAGCTTTGTGCAGAGAGCATTTAGGGAAACAAAAGAAGGAGGATTCCAATGTTCCCTGGGATGGGGGAAATCAATTAATTGTCTTCACTATGAATCCTCCTACAGGCTGAAGACAAAGAATAACAGAAATGTGACTTTAAGGTAAACAAAAAAAATTTGTCAACTACTGGGGGGGGGCGTGTATCAGTTAGCCACAGATAAGTCAGTACATTGTATAAAAACCAAAAACCTCAAAACCAAAACTGATTCCATGACAAATTGATACTAAATACATAAAACAGTAGTCAGTATACAATTTAGTTAAGGAAAATGACATATATTATAGTTACATTTCATCATACATTCAGATCAAAAGTTTAAGTAGGTTCAAAAGAAAGCAAATGTTTTAGCAAAGAATCACATTTACCAAGAGAAACATTACATAAAATGAAATAAATTTAGTGCAAATGGTTACAATTCACTGTACTATACAAAGCACAAAGAACTCGCCAAATTGATCAACAGATTCTTCCCTTAAAGTCCTACCTTATCATTGGTGTCCAATACGATGGTGCTATGTCTCCACTTGGTTAATACTATTGGTTCTTGCAGCCGCCTGTCCAGGCTCCTACTTTTAATTATTTCTCTTTGCTGCTGGGATGAAGCATTATACTAAAGAAAACAAAATATACTTCATAAATAACAGAAACAAAAGCAGAAATCTAAACATTTTGGTTCCAAATGACACATGACCATTAGGCAAAGTTCATCACATCACACCACCATGAATTTACGAGCCTCAGTTTTTCTCAACTTTGATTAGCATTTTGGCACAATTGAGAAGATCATAGATTTTGCTGTTGGAGAGACAAAATTAGTATTTTCTTTAGTAAAATATTTAATCTCCCTAAGTTTCCCCAACTGTAAAGCAGATATAACAGAAATACCACCTCATTCACAGAGTTGCTCTAAAGATAAAACAAAGTATTAAAAGAACCAAATACTGCCCTGACAATAGGTTCTTAATAAATATTAACCATCATCATTTATAAAACGAGGTCATTAAATTAATTTTTTAAGGTTCCTTCTACTCCTAAAATCTAAAATAAGCATTATTTTTAAAACTTAAACCAAAACTTAAATTCAAAATGAACTAGCAAGTTCTTTATATATTCTGGATTCTAAACCTTTCTAAGCTATGTGAGTTGAACATATCTCCTAGTCTGCAGCTCATCTTTTGCCCCTTGTGTACAGTATCTTCTACATGTAGAAGGTGTTTTAATTTTAAAGTAGTCACATCTGTCAATCTTCCCTTTTATAGTAGGCTTTTGGGTCTTGTTCAAGAAATCCTTCCAACTCTACAAAGATATTCCTTGATATATCCTTCTACAGTCTTTAAGGTTTTGATCATTACATTTACATGTTTAACTGAAATTAATCATTAAGCTTGAAGTAAGGTCAAGGATCTACTTTTATCTCATTTTCTTCGTGTGCGCAACCAATAATCTTAGCAACATTTATCGTATAGTCTGTGCTTATCCCATTGATGTGTAATGCCACATCTGAGCTTTCTATTCTGTCCTACTGGTCTATTTATTTAGACAAGTGCCCCTACTCCCCCAACTCAATCTCCATAACAGGAACTCCATCCCTTCTCCCCCTCCCCACCAATTCTCCCTATTCAGGAATAATATTTTGACTCTTTATGAACCTTTGCTTACAAATAGAAGTTTTAGGTTCAGTTCCCAAAAATGGTGTGTGTGGGGGGGGAGGTGTTGAACTTGCAGATTAATTTGGACAATTATTACAAAATTAACTCCCCCAATCCAAGACCATGGTGGAATACTGCACCATTTATTCAGGTCTTCTTTTACTCTGCTCTAAAAATTTTCCTTCACTAAAATCTTATAGACCCTTATTAGGCATGTTCTTAGTTACAACAATTTTTGTTGCTGCTAATGTAAATAGGATTTTGTTGCTATCACATTTTTAAACTGACTTTTTCCTAGACAAATGGGTAGTTTTTATGTTGACTGTATATCCAGCAACTTTGCTGAACTCTCATCAGTTTTAAGTTTGTAGATTCTCTTGGATTTTCTAATAATCAAAAGAACAAATGTATCTCTTCCTTTTTAATTCCATTATTTCCTTTTCCTTTCCTATTTAATTGTTGAATAGAAGCAGTGATAGAAAAATTCTAGTCTAGTTCCTAATTCTAATGGAGAAGCTTCTGTAATCTCACCATTAAGTATGAGATTTACTGCAGATTATTCGATAAATAACCTTTAGCATAATTTGTCATTCATTATATTTGAAAGTGATTTTTCTAATAGAAGCATACTTGAGTTACAGTTTTTTATCCATTCTGAAATTCTTTTAAAAAGATGTGTTTAGACCATTTATACTTAATGTAATTATTTATATATTAGGATTTAAGTCTGCCATTTTATTATTTGTTTTCTACCATTCCTTTTTCTCCATTCCTGCCTTCCTATGGGCTACCTAATTTTTATTATTATATTTTAATATATCTACAATTTCTTGATTCTTTCTTGTTACAGCTTTTAGTGCTTGTTCTCAGAATTACAATATAGTTAATTTATCACAGTCTACTAGTATCAACATTTCACTACTTCAAATAGAATACAGAAACCTTACCAATAATTACATCCCTTTACTCTCCCCACTTTATGATATATTTGCCTTAAATCTCATCTCTGCATATAAGTACTACTTTAGAAATTTTATAATTTTTGTTTCAAATGTCAAACATAATTTTAAACACTCAGGACAAAAGTCTCCTCAGATATTCACCCTTTCTACTGTTTTTATTCATTTCTGATATTCCAAATTTTCTTCAGTAGCATTTCCCTTCTGTTTGAAGGACATCCCTACTGCAGTTCCCTGAAAGCAAGACTGCTGGTGATAAATCTCTTAGTTTACTTTCATGCTGAAAATGTCTTTACAGGCCAGGCACATGGCTTATCCCTGTAATCTCAGGACTTTGGGAGGCCATGGGGGGAGGATCACTTGAGCCTTGGAGTTCAAGACCAGCCTGGGCAACATAGCGAGACCCGATCTCTACAAAAAAGTTTTTAAAAAATTAGCCAGGCATGGTGGCGTATGACTATACTCCCTAATTGAGAGGCTAAGCGGGAAAGATCACTTAAGCCCAGGAATTAGAGGCTGCAGCAAACTATGATTTGCCACTGCACTCCAGCCTGGGCAACAGAGTGAAACCTCATCTCTGAAAAAGCAAAAAAGTCTACTATTCATTCTTGAAGGATATTTTTGCTGGGTATAGAATTATGGGCTGAAAGTTCTTTTCTTTCAGCATTTGAAAAATGTGTGTCATTTCCTTCTGGCTTCCATGATTTCTTATAAGGAAGCCACTGCCATTCAACTTGTTATTACCCTATAGGTAATGTGTCGTTTCAATGAGCTGCTTTTGCAAATTTATTTTTTTGCAGGGGGAAGATGTCTTTTCAGAAATGTGATTACATTAAGTCTGGATAGAGATTGCTTTGGGTTTATCTTGTTTGGTGTTTATTCAGCTTCTTAAATTGGTCGGTTTGTCTTTTGCCAAATTTAAGACATTTTTAAACATTATTTTCTTCAAATATTTTTCAGCCTCACACTCATTCCTTTCTCCTTCTGGAACTCCAATGAAAGGAATGTCAGATCTTTTGTATTTTTCCACAGGTCTCTGAGGCACTGTTCATTTTTTACAACTCTACTTCTACTCTGCTATTTTTTGAGCCAACCAGTATTTTATTTTGGTTCTAAGATTTCCATTTGCTTCTTCTTTATGTCTTCTATTACTTTGCTGAGACTTTTGACTTTTTCACTTAAGTGTGTTCATAAATGCTTGTGGCAGCATTTTTATTACAGCTGCTTTAGAATCCTTATGAGATAACTCCCTCATCTACATCATCTTGGTATTGTCACCTATAGACTGTCTTCTCATTTGAGATTTTCCCCTTTGTATGACAAGTAATCCTAGGTTATAGTCTGACATTTTGAGTAATGTAACACTTTATTTTCTAGTTAAGCCTTCTATTAATATTTTAGCAGACTGTCAACCCATCTAGGTTCAGAATACACATCTCGGCCCACATTTATGGCCGGTAGTTCAAATGTCATTTCAGTTCTTAAAATCTTTTTAGTGCTGTCTGGTCTGCCTTGTTTGTGTGCTACCCAGAGGCTAACCTGAGGCCTGAGCAGTATTCCACACCATGGTTCTGTTCTAAAAGCTTCTGCTATGTTAATTCTGGTTGTTTCCATGCATAGGCCACTCTGGTGTTGTGCCTAGGATCTCACGCAGAGTTTTAAAATCCCTTTCTCTAGCTTCCTCCTTTCCGTAATAATCCTCCTTCCACTGTCTACTAGGGATAGAGTGAGCAGCTGTCTCGTTGCTGTTGTTCATTTAGTGAACAGGGAGGACAAATGATAGGGCTCCCTGCATGCCGTGTAGGGCTCCACCAAGCAGTCTCCGCAGTGCCCAGGCAGAGAGGGGGGAAGGTGCTGCTTCATTAGCGCTGGTTAGGAATGGCTGACAGGGCTTCATTCAAGAAACTGCCAAGACCTTCCAATACTTTATCCTAAGTGGCAAATGGTAGCAGAAAATGAAATAATACCACAAAACTGAGGGTTCAACGCTGGTCATAATCAGTGCTCATTTCCACTGCTGTGGCATACCCTCTGAGGCCCTGATATAATTCAGTCCCTTGCCGCTCTTCTTTCTTTCACTCAAGCCATCTCCAGAAGTAAGTAGAAGATGAGCCTAGAGTTCTTCTAACCAAGGGAAGTACAGGAGTTCATAAGAAACCCAACAGGAATATCTAGCCACCAGTAAAGTAAAGGCTCTAACCTGCTCCTGACGTAAGGTCATCTCGGGAACCTCTCCCTTCTAACACCCTGACCTGGAACAAATCACTCAAAACAAGCCTTGTGATTGATCTCATGACTCCAGGGAATCAGCACTATGGAAGAGGATATAGTACATAAAACTCCTCTATATCTCAATACATCTTTGATATCTGAGGTGCTGGCAGGAGCTGCATTTCAAATCTGTCAAGTATAACAAAAAGTTTAATATCATATGGTTCAATTATTTAATTTTGTTAATAAAATATTCATCTTCTATAACCTAAATCATTTTCAGTAAATTAAACTTTCAGCAGATTTTTTTTCTGGTTTCTTCGAGTCAAAATCAGATCTTATATTTATAAGGCTAATAGAACCAATCATTATTATATAGTTTTCAACACTGAATAATTATATCACCAAAATATACTCTTATCCCAGCACATAAGTTATTACATATTTTGGCCATCATGATCCATAAAATTATTCTTTTCAAATTAATCACTAAATATAAAATTATTTTTTATAAATGGTACTGATTTTGAAAAGCAATATCTGAGGTATTCTATAACTTCTTCCCAGTACATTTATAAAAAACTTGTTAATCTTATTATGTATACCTCTTTCCCTCTAAAAGTTGTAACAGTTCTATTAAGCTTGAGATATTATTTTACCACTTAAAAGTTTTATTGAGAGACAATTAAATTTGGAAAGTATAATGTTGGGTCATTTCATATTCAACTTTTTATAAAATTCAACTAAAAAAAATTGTTGCTAGAGTATTATCCAACTGCTGTGCTATGGTTCTTAAAACAAGAATATTACAGGGTTCTGAGTATTTAGCACAACCTCCAAGTTTTAAAGGGTAAATATGGTTTTATCTTCACAATCAGATGCTAAAAGCACAAATTAATAATGATGAAAATGAAAAAATTCACAAATGTTTTATTGAATTGTGTTTCATAATTTTAAAGAATGATGAGATAAAAGCTCAATGCTGAAATATGTGAGAAATGATTTGTGGCACTTCTAGATATACTTTTATTGGAACTTTCTTCATTCACGGTATTCATGATTAATGAAGTAAAAACATGTAATAATATCTTCATAAATCTTCATGAGAGCTTTTGTAATTAAAATTTTTTATATTTTAAAAATATACTTAAAGATATTTTAAAACTATCTTCACTAATATTAATATGTTAAGCTGAAAATAGTATTTTTAAAAACAATTGTATAAATGTAGATTTTAATGACTTCTAATTTAGAAAGTTATTAATTTAAACAAAATTATTAAAAATATGCAATAGTTTTTCTGCTGAGCTGAGCAAAAGAGAATGTACCTATATAAAATGTGTGAAAAGGATCAAAAACTGCTTATTTGAAGATTTGACAAGGGTTTTTTTTTTAACTACAGAAAAAATTCTGGGGCTATACTTGATAGCCAGGTCAACCAAAAGAACCAATATTTTCTTTATCCACCTCTGAACTCCTACACCCACCAAGTTTCCATTATAGCCACCTTACTTTGTTCCATGAGATCGCAAAATGTTAAGAGTTGTCAGAGTTATAATGGACCTCTTCTGCTACTGGCTGAACTCAGACTCACAAGGGTGTTCTTAAAAATCAATTAATTACAGGCTGCATATTTTATCCTAACTAGTATCAAGGCTTATAATTTCACAAAATAATTAAGGCCAGACAGCATTCACATAAAAAGAAACCACTATTAGCAAAGCACTAGTTTACCAGATTAGTGTTTCTCAACCTTCAATAAGTTTAGTACCATCTAGTGATTTTTGTCTATATCCATGTATCATTTATGCTATTAATATTATTCTTTAAATTGACTTACTTGGGGAAAAAGATTTCTTTAAAAACTAAAGTATATGTAATAATTAACCACAGATTTGTCTAATTATAGTTGTTTTCTAAACCTTAAAATAATATGCCAATTAAAATTTAAATGTTTGCCCAGATATCACTTAAAATTATCTCAAGTACCAACAAGGACATGTATATGACCACTTTGAAACCCACTGCCTTAGGTAAACTTCGTCCTGGTGTACCTGTCTGGAAAAGAGACGTCCAGCTAAGTCCTAGGCCATATTATCACCACATGCTGCCTATCTCAGCCAATGGGCAACTGAATCGTAACACACATTTACATAGATGATAAATATCACATTACTTTTTTCTCTTAAAAAGATTACACATAAGATGAACTTTGTATAGAAAAGTCAACATATTCAAGATAACCAGATATAAGATGGCATTACTGGCACTGAAGGGAATTCTTATTTCTGGGAATAATGAAAGACCAATTTCAAGTTAAACCAAAAGCATTTCTGAATGGGAATAGTCAGTATCACACAGTGCCGATCACTGTACATCTCAGAAACATTTAGCCACTCACAGGACTTTCAGTGAGTTCTGAGAAAACTAGTCTTGCTGCTTTTCAAAAGTTGAATAAAAATTTAAAAATAAATCTGCTGAAATCATCTTCATATATTACTTCATCTATTATTTTAAACAGAAATTCAGTGGTAAGGTTTATTACCTTTGGCAATTCCCATTCCGACCGAGATCCATCTGCACTGTAGTAATATTGTCTACCTTGATCGTCAACATGCTTGAGCCACTATGAAAACAGAACAGGTGGTTCTTTTAAAATTTATATAAAAGTTAGTTTAAGCTGCTACAATTAGAGATATTAAATTTAATTCTTATGAATTGTATCGAACGTTGCAAAAAATTCAAATAAACCTATACTAGTAGACTTGCATTTTGAGTTCGGTAAGAATAAATATACTCAATATTAATTTATTATCAATTTATTTTCTCTCTCTTTCCTCCGATTTCTGCCTAGTGGTTGAAGCATCACTTAACAGCAAGAAACATATAACACAAAGATACACAGATGTAAGTATGCAGTGGAACACAGGTACACACCCCCATCTTGAAAACAAGTTGGAGAAATTAACAAAAGGGAATTGTTTCTCAATCATTCAGTATAAAACTAAACAATTTAAGCCCCATTTCATGCAAACCCTTAGGAATTACCTCTGTTAGACAACACAATAAAATTTAAATAGCAGTAACAACAGAACTTCATGAAATATAATAAAGGGAATATGAGGGGAAAAAGGACTAAATATTGCTAATACAAACATACGATCTAGATAACAAAATAAAGGAAAACTACTGCTTCCTTATGTGCTTATGTCAAAAAACTGAGGAAGAAAGCAGTGGTAAAAGTCTATCCCTGTTTATTACCAAGGGTCTATTCTCTAAACTAACATACGCAATCAGTTACTTTCTCCAACAATACCAGATGTAATACACACATAAAATTTCAATATTCATTCCCAAGCTAATTAATCATAAAATACTAGATTCATGGTTTTTGTTTTATACAAATTTGATTATAATAGAAAAAGGAGTTATAGGCAGTCAGGCAGTGGACAATCATGGCATGTTGAGAAAACTATTTCCAAAAAACTCTTCGCCAAGAAAAATATGAAGAAATATGCTTATTGAAGAAATCTAAACAAAATGACACTCGACAGGTCTACTCCTAAAAGGTCTGTCTCAAATGGGTATTAACACCACAAAAATCACTATCACTGTAAGCAGTTTAAAACCATGAATTAGTAGTTATACTGAGTTTCCATGTTGTGAATTGGCATGATTATAAAATTATAATGAGGAATATTTCCGTGACTTTTTAATATTACTAAAACTTCAGTACACAACTATTTTATGAGAGAATTCTGCCCAAGAAACACTAGATGAGAAAAAAAGAATGTACCTTTTCATTAGTATAGTCACTGGTATACAAGGTATGCCCACGTTCATCCAACTCTTCTGACCAACCCCTTGGAGGAGAACCACACTGACTATCTGACTGGCTGTAACAAATGCTGTGGTAGTTTTCTTCTGATGAAAGCAGCTATAAATAGTCAGAAACAAGGATTTTTCTTCTTTGAATATAAATACGCAGCAGTTGAAAAATCTAAGAAATTGATTTTACTTGACTATAAGTATTAAGATATCTTGAATATATTTGAATATTTAATTTCAAAATAAACTGATGTCTTTAAATGGTACATTGTAAGTGATGAGGTAAAATTAATAGTCGTTATTTTATCAATTAGTGCAACCCTGGAAAAATTTACCACAATAAAATTGAAAACAATGTTTTCAGACTAAGAAGAGACAAAATGCTATTTCATGCTGCTTTTGAACTCAAATCGAGTTAAAAAATGACGAGTCAGTAAGTGTACACATGTCTATGTGTAAACAAAGGAGGGGATGAGGGATCTTCCTTAGACTGAGCTCCTTGGAAACTCTGTTCTGTGTGTCAAGCACCTGGCCAAATGCATGGCAAACAAGAGTGCTCAATAAATATATCTGGAACTATTTTTTTTAATTGTGTGGGAGGAGAAGGGAGAGAAAAGACATGAGTTTTGTGACACTACATTTTGTGTTCCAATTTACTGGCAAGGTTTCCTAACTCACTCAACCAAATGCTTATTAAAACTGTTGGAAACTAAACTTCAAAACAAGAAAAAACTAATATTGAGAACATTCAAATACACTACAGAGAGAAAAATCAGAAATTCAGTATGGAAATAATATAGGTATGTATACATGATAAACTCCAGATGTATAAGAGAAAGCAAACCAGAAGACTGAGAAAATTTAACAATTTTTTATGTCTCTTAACAAACAAGAGGCACTATAATTAATGTGACTAAGTAGCTATTTGCTTACTGCACTTAAACTTCATTCAAGAACTATTAGGTTAATACTCATGTGCAAATGACCCTTCCTATCACCAGTAAAATAGTTTCTACAATTAAATCTTATTCAGCCTGTATTTTCTATCACCATCATTTGGCCTGAAACGCTAAGATGGGCAGATGCTCAACACTGTAGTTAGAGACATAAACAGCCTAATAATATGTTGACAAAAACAGGCAACTTTGCAGAAGCACTGCATAAAGTGAACTGTATTATGTTTTGTAACATAATTAAAAAATTAAACACCAAATTTAAAAATCAAGAGTTTATTTTTATTTAAGACAACTTAAAATGTAAGCTCATGTATGAGAAAAGGGCAATAAAATCTTTAGAAAGAAAAAAGGCAATCTAATCAGTAAAATTAATTTAAGGAATAATCTAAATCACTAAATCAGTGAAGTAAGCAAGATGGTCTCTTCTGCCATGAAAAGTAACCTCCAGTATCTTGATACATTTTATTACACTAAAGAACCAGGAATAGCTTTAAAATCTTGATTTCTACTGCTAAAAAAGAGCTGTTTAATGGCCACTAAACAAAAATGAAGATTATTTTTGGCAAGCTTTCTCCAAAGGTTCACTGTTCTATACTAGATAACCCCATTGGGGAGGGTCACTGGCTCTGTAACTCTGGGGTCTATTCTGCTACAAACGTACCCTAGTAGCAGCAGGAGGGGCTACAGTAGACATTCCATTTATAGGGGAATGGCAGGGAGTTTCCCTAACTGATCATCTGGATGAAAACAGCTAAAAAATATTACATAAAAATTGTTTTAAAAAACCATAAATGAGAAAAAAAAAAAAGGTTTGTTAAGAAATACTCAGAGGTCAAAAACTAAGTAGAAACAAGAATCCAGAGAGTTAGGTAGAATAAAAAGACCAGCTTTCTCCTTAAAGGCATTTGCTAGACCTCAAACTAAAAGGTTAGTTTTCAAGGGCATGAAGAAGTGTTGTAGAACTGGACTCAGGACTACCAAAGGCAGGGAGGCTAAACGGACACCCACAACACAGAGCCAGGCTCTCCACAGATTATGAGTAAACCATAAACAAATCTTGCCCCTTTGTTCCACACCAGGAAAATCACAAGAATCTTCCCCAATAATCAGGGGAAATCAGGGCAATCCTCAGCCATCAGCCAGGGTTCACACAATCCAACTTACTACTACCAAGGTGGCCCATAACAACTAAAGCTAAAGATTTAGTTTGAAATATTCACAGGATATTATTAATAGTTTCGCCAGGGACCTGGCAGAAGCAAAAGCAAATTCTCTCTGAAGAAACCCACTTCTGACTTTAACATTAAAGACTGCCTACATACAGATTTCTAAGAACTATAATCTCACATTAGAATATAGATACACACATATAAAAGAGGAAAAACAAAACACCATGAGTTAGCAGAAAAACAGAATAATCACTCACAAAAACTTTATATACTAGAATTAACAAAAACAAAATATAAAATAAGACTAAAGAGAGATGTAATAAATAAATGCAATATATGATTCTTTACCAAATCCTTCGTTGTAGGGGAAAAAAGGCCATTAAGGATATTACTTGACAACTGAGAAACACTGACTTTCAACAATGTATAAAAGAGTATGCCAATATTAAATTTCTTGGGTGTGATAAATGTATTGTGGTTTTGATGGGAAAAAAATTCTTATACTTAGGAAATAAAATGTTTTTATTTTATGCCTCAAATGGTTAAGAAAATTACGTATGTGTATGTGTGTGTGAAGGGAGGGATAGAGAAAGCAAAGTGGCAAAATTTTAATAATGGGTAAATCTAAATGAAGGTTATATAGTTTATTAATGTTCATTATATTATTCTTTCAACCTTTTTGTAGCTTTAAAACTTTTCAAAGTAATAATATGGGGGAAATTCTCCAAACAAATAAAATAACACTTTAAAAGTCAAGGATTGGTTTAACATCAAATGAAGATGTAGACAAAGAGAAAAATAGTGAACAGAAGCTAGATCTTGAAATATTTAGAATGACACACACAGAGACATAGATGAACAGAGTGAGATTAAACACTCATTGAAGTTCTAGAATAAGAGGAAAGAGAAAATGGGGCAGGGTCTATATACAGATAACAGCTAAGAATTTTCTAGACCTGATCAAAGACAGGACTCCTCAAATTTAGGAGTCCCAACAAAACCCTGGCAGGAAACAAAAAAGGTATCTTCACCCAGTCACATCATAGTGGAAGTACAAACACGAGATCTCAAAAGTTGCTAACAAGAAGAGAGAAATTATTGTTAAAGGAAAGACAATCAGAATGACATCCGAATTTTCAGCATCAACAATGAAAGCCAGAAAATGAGAATAAAATCTTCAATAAACTAGGAAAAAAACAGTCACCTTAGGACTGTACACCCATTTAAAATATTCTTCAAAAATAAAAGCAAAATAAATAAATTTTCAGACAAATTAAATCTAAGATTCCCTAACAGATTCTTAAGAGGGAATTTAAAAGCATGTAAGCAAGACAGAAGAAAATGTGAGAAAAGAAAGTGGTAAAATGAGGATTAATTTTCAGAGTCACATACAACAACAAGGAGGCTAAAAACAGAAATAAAAATATGGCAACAATAGCACAATAGCACATATAGCTCTTGTGTGGCTCTAAGAAGCAAGAGGATACTGATTAACCTTAGGCTTTGCATAGACTGACTATGCACATTAAAGTCGGGTGTAGGGCTGTACAGCTGTATCTCAGCTACTCAGGAGGCTGAGGCAGGAGGATCTCTTGAGCCCAGGAGTTTCAGGACATAATGTGCTGTGATTATGCCTGTAAAAAGCCACTGCAATCCAACCTGAGAATACAATGAGACTCTACCTCTAAAAAATTTAAAAAAAAAAAAGAAAAAGAAAAAAAAAATTCCTAAGGCAGTGTCTCTCGAGAGCAGCACTGTTGACGTTTAGGGCCAGACCATGCTTTGTTGTGGAGAGCCTGTGTATGGCTGGACGTTCAGCACCATCTCTGGCCTCTACCCACTAGATGTCAGTAGCACTTCCCCCACTGTGACAATCAAAAAGTCTTCACACTTTGCCAATGTCCCTGGAAGGCAAAATCACCACCAGTTAAACACCACTGCTCTAGCGGAAACACTAAAACAATAAGCTTCGGACTTAAGATGGAAGAGTGAACACTTGCTCTGTCTCAAACCCCACTAAAATAACAGAAGTGAAATATGCTTAAAAAGATGTAAACTTACAAGAACAGGAAGAACACAAAGAGAGAAACAGTCAAGCAGATGAATAAAAAATTGAATTATGCGCAAAGAAAGCAGAATCTCAGCCGGCGTGGTGGGAGCAGGGGGCAAGTAAGGGGAGGATGAATCCTAGCAAGTTTACACAGAAGAATCTGCAAATGGCCCAGGAACTGATGGTATCAGATACCTCTGGAACTGGGGGGTGAAGGCAGAGATACTAATTAAGGAGGACTAAAATCACCAGGATACTCTTCTTCATGGCTGACTATTAGCAGAAATATGGGGATTTATTCCCTCTGAAGAAGGAACAACAGTAAGATTCTGAGCTGGGGGACAACAGACACAATTGAGACATGGGTACCAACAGAAACACGGGAGTGTGAGGGACCAACCATATGCAAACCAAATGCCAACATCAAGACCTGGGCAGCCCTTACCTTCTAGGCAGACAATCTAATAAAGACTTGTACGGAGACTGAAAAGACCTAAAGGTTTTAACATTGGAGACTCCCCAACAAGCAGCTGCCACAGATCACCATTAAAGGGAAGTTCAAAATGCCTTGCAAGTGTGAGAAAATTATTGCCAACCTAGAATTCTATATCCTGCATGCTTGCAATGAAATGTAAGAGAAGACTACAGATACTTTTGCACACACACAGTCTCAACTTTACTTCCCATACACAACTTTTCTCAAGAAGTTACTGGAAGATGTGTTCCAGCCACTTTGGAAATATTTGTTTCTATACAATTTTTGCGGAGACTAGTAGTGTAAGCTAAGGCATATATACAAATCACTCTTGTCTATTTATTAAAATAGAAAGCTAAGAAACATGTTAAAAGTTCCTGTGTATACTTTAAATTCCTTTAAGTTAGTCTATAATTTAGTCTTTTTCTTAATTCTCCCAAATTATAAGACTTTATTATTGACACACAGGATAGTTTATTTTCAAATCTCCTATATGTACAAAATTTTCCTTTCTTATTATAGTTAAACATGAAAAATTTCTCTATTTTTGGTTCTCACTTGAACACTAAAAGTACAAGTAACTACCTAACCGAAGCTGTAAATAACCAACTGAAAAACAGGATAAGAAGGGGGTTACTAACTACAAAAACTTTTAGGGTCTGCTAAATGCAGGATATGTTACCTGATTTTTCCAGCTCCTATCTACCTGGAGCTCTGCTTTTATTTTGTACAAGGTAGCTGCTTTCTATAAAAGCAGCATGTCCTATGCAGGTGGAGAGCCTCCAGTCTACCAACAGCAGGAGTTCACTCCCTTCCATCAATCTCGCATAACTTCTCCTGCACATCTAAATAGCCCCAAGGCCTCTCCAGACTACTGAGATAAGTGTTTCTCAAGCTATAGCTGGCCAATTCACTGTACCACCTTGCAAGAGGTATGGAGGAAGGTGAAACCAGATGGGGGTTGGGGGGGGAAATAATATTAATACTTGTTAGAGACAATAATGATTTGGGTTTTTTTTTTTTTTTTTTTTTGAAAGACAGTCTCCCTCTGTTGCCCTGGCTATAGTACATTTTAAGTTTAAAACAATTCATTCAAGTTCAGAATCTATTTATTTATTTATTTGAGACAGCCTCCCTCTGTTGCCCTGGCTATAGTACAGTTTAAGTTTAAAACAATTCATTCAAGTTCAGAATCTATTTATTTATTTATTTGAGACAGCCTCCCTCCATTGCCCTGGCTATAGTACAGTGGCATCATCATAGCTCACTGCAACCTCAAACTCCTGGGCTCAAGGGATCCTCCTGCCTCAGCCTTCCGAATAGCTGGGACTACAGGGGTGCACCACCATGTCTAGCTAATTTTTCTTTTTTTAGTAAAGATGGGTCTCACTCTTGCTCAGGCTGGTCTTGAACTCCCGACCTCAAGGCCTCCCACCTTGGCCTCCCAGAGTGCTAGGATAACAGGCATGGTTAACCTTGCCCAGCCCAAAAATAATGATTTTAAAGTGAATTGTAAGATTTACAGAATGATACAGTTGTAGCAAAGGAATTATAATTATTTCCCTTACGTATAAATAAAAAATTGATCTTGTATGTCTGACTGACAGAGAGGAAAATTGAGAAGGAGCTTGGTAGCCATACTAAGCCAATAAAGAAAAGTATCTCTTTTAATTAGTTAAATAATTTTGTTTCCATTTATTTGGCTAGGTCACATCATATATTTTCTTTCCTTCTTTCTCTAAAAGATGCCACTGGCTTGTGCAATAACAATAATGGAATTAGTATCTTCTAATCCATAAGGAAACACACTGGCACTAGACAACTTGAATCCAGTTCTGGAACTAGTGAGCACACTGCAAGTTAGCTACTGTGCTTTATTAGGAATTAGTAGCTAGCATTAGTATAATAAAGCTTAGAAAGAACTTTTAGTATCTTAGAGATTCAAGTATTCTACCACGCCGATACCAAGCAATAAACCTATTCACCTCTTTTGTTTATGAATAATGAAAAGAGAAAATTTGGTAACTCGCAGGTTGATTCCTTAACTACTCATACCTCTTGATCTCCCGAACTTTGGAAATCTCCCGGACTTTGGAAATCTTTGCTTACACTTGCATCCCGAGCCCAGCGAGGTGGTTTCCAAGTTCTTTCCTGTGTTCCTCTGTTATAGTAGTAACAACGCCCTGAACTGTCTTTATGAGTTTCCCATTCTCCGTTAATCTGAATTGCTGGGCTCCCAGGAAGCGGGGGAAGAGCAGACTGGGATATTTTCAGTTCCTGCAGATTAGCATAGACTGGAGAATCTGGCCTCCCTTGATTTGGAGGTGTAGTTGCCTGTGAAATAAAAATTTTAAAACTTCATGTTTAAACTGGCATAACAGTTTTAAGTTAAAATTAAACAGGATAATTTATAAACATATATACTATTTTAAAACATTTATACAAGTGTATATATTAAGGAAATAATAATTTAACAGTTTTAATATTTATAGTTTGATTAAAAAATAACTCAAAAACTTCAAATAGAATTCAAATGTGCTTAATACTGTCCTTTACTTGAAAGAACACTTGACTAGAAGCAAGAGTTATGGGTTCTAGTTCAAGATCTGTACCAACGAGTTGTATATGTTGGAGATCACTCTGCCTTTCTGAAACTGAAATTTTTAATCTCTATAAATGAGGAAACTGGACTAAACCACCAAGGTGTTGTCTGGCTCTCAAATTCTACGATTTTAGGCATTTTTTTTAAATATAAAAGTCTCGCACATCAGTGGTTGAGCTTTTATTCAGAAAACTATCAAAAGAAAGATTTTATATGCTAAGCTCTAATACTAAAATGAGGAATATAAGTGAAACATAAAAGGGAAATAATACTTATGCTAAGAATTTACTATATTCTGTTTCTTCAGGAAGTAAATTCTTAAGTGGTATTTTTCAGTGGCTATAAACAAATCATTATAATAGCTCAAATATAATTTCTCAGTGTCTATAAAGAAATTGTTTAATCGCTTCCTAGTTTCCTTATTTGTGAATTTTCTAACAGTGGGGGAAAAAATTAGCAGTAACTCTGATTTACATATTTAATCTTAAACTACAGCTTTACTTTTATTTTTAAATGTCTCACTAGATGTCAGTCAAGAGCAAACACTTCATATCCTTTCCATAAGGACATTGTAAACTGTATTAGCTTACACAGAATTCCAGTTTCTGAAGAAAAAAGCAAACATCTGAGAACACCGTTTATAGTATGTATTCGTATTTGTTTATCTAACTTCCTTTTATAACAGAGTTTCTCAAGCTTGGCTCAACTGGCGTTTTGAGACAGATCACCTTTGCTGTGAGGGCTATCCTGTGCATGGAGGGATAGCCACCAGCTTCCCTGGCCACTACCCACTAGAGGACAGTGCCACACACGCTTGTACATGCACAGCCACCTCCATGATGACGCCAGAAAGTCTCTGGATGTTACCAAATGCCTCCTGGGAGCAAAACTGTCCCTGGTTCAGAAACACTGCTTTATCATATAAATCCTAGAGTTATATCCAGATGTTCAATTATTTCTGTAATGTATCCAGAGTTTTATGAATGCTTAAAAATATCAAATTAAAAAAGGGGAAAGTGAATGGAAACAAACTAAAGTACTTCAACTTCCAAAAACAGTATTTGCCTATAAACTAATTTTAGTGAGTCTAAATCACAGAATACGTTTTAAAAGAGAAAACGGTAAAAATAACCCAAAACACGAATACAATTTGTAAAAATGGTTACCTGTGGTCTTTTTACACATGGTAGTTATGCAAGTACTTGTATTCAGTAATGCAAATTATACTGTTTTCCTAAAACTGTTAGCTTCAAATTTATTTATTTATTTTTTCAGACAAGAGTCTTGCTCTGTTGCTCGGGCTAGAGTGCCGTGGCATCAGTCTAGCTCACAGCAACCTCAAACTCCTGGGCTCAAGGAATCCTCCTGCCTCAGCCTCCCGAGTAGCTGGGACTACAGGCGCATGCCATCGTGCCCGGCTAATTTTTTCTATTTTTAGTACAGACGGGGGTGTCACTCTTGCTCAGGCTGGTCTCGAGCTCCATAGCTCAAGCGATCCTCTCGCTTCGCCTCCCAGAGGCTAAGAATACAGGCGTGAGCCACCATGCCCAGCCTGTTAGCTTCAAATTTAGACTACCTCCAAACAACATTTTTCTATGCACAAAATCTATCCATGCAGAAAGACATGCATTTATTTCTCCTACAGACTAATTCCATATCCTAGTGAATTAGCCATAGCAACACTTCTCTGACAAAAAAAAAAATAACAAACAATTCTATATAGTAATTCTTAGAACCCTGTCTAGAGAATATTTATTCAACAAGTATTAAAGAAGGTCTTACTTTACACCTGACGCTTGACTAGAACTTGGGGAAATAAAGATACCAAGAAACGGCCATTTTCTAAATCATGTTTGTGAACAAATTCTACTAAATATTTAAGAAACAACTAATTCTTATTGTTTAAACAGCTCAAATTTAAAGTTTTTTCAACTGAAAAAAAAAATTGAAATACTTCAGCCTTCAGCAGAGTCTTGTAAGACTAGCATAATTCTGAAACAAAAGCAGAGAAGAATTAAATGAAAGAACATTATAAACATATCTCACTTACAATTATAGACAAAAATATCCTTTATAAAACATTAGCAATCAAATCCAGTGCTACATTAAATAAATCAGGGAAAAGATGTGATGTTAATAAAATCTATCTTTAGGAAATCTCATTCTGTAATTCTTTAGATTTACAGATTAATATGATCACCTCTACAGACACCAAGAAAGCATTTGATAAAATTCAACACAGATTGAGGATAAAGCTCTTAGCAAGTTAGGAATAGGTGATGCTTCCTATTTAAAAATTTCACTTTTTAAAATAATATTTTCTGGGCCGGGCACGGTGGCTCACGCCTGTAATCCTAGCACTCTGGGAGGCTGAGGCGGGCGGATCATTTGAGCTCAGGAGTTCTGGACCAGCGTGAGCAAGAGTGAGACCCCATCTCTACTAAAAATAGAAAGAAATTA